TGCTGTTTAATTTAATTAAAAATTCCAGTTTCATTTATATATTCTTTTTTCAATTTACACATACTCGAACCCAATATGTGAAATAAGTAAATGTCAAGCCTTTAAATAATAGAATCATCATTAGCGTTTCTGGTGTCGTTAAAACAAAATTAAGATAAAAATTATTAACTTTATAGAGCGTCCTCTATTTTAACATGTGCGTATTTATCTTAGTGTTTGGACGCACAGAAAGTAATTTGAAATTACATGTTAGCTGATTGACTTAACTTAATCTTATAGGAAATGCAATAACGTAGGCTCGTTTGAACGTGTCAGTAATGATATGCCAGGATTTAATAATAATCTAGCTATAAGTATAACACTAGTAGTAGTACTATTATTTACTCAGTAACACTTAACAAAACAAGAACTAAGAAGTTAGTGTTAGACGCTATAGTAGTAGTGTGGAGTATAGTTAGTAAATAGTACTAATATTTTAAACTTAGTATTACTATTAACATTATTACTTGAGTTGTACTAAAACTAGTAATACTAATAGGAATATTAATATTACTAAGCCTATTGACTATTGTGGTAGTTTGAAATTAATATACATTCCATAATAATAGGAATATTTATTATAATTAGGAACTTATGTGTGTGCATAAAGATTTATTAATATGATAATTTTATTAGTAACTAATGTTTTATTAAGTATTATTAATATTACTATAATAGTATTGCTTACTATTACCGAGTATTAGTATTAGGCCTATTGTGTTTGTGTTTTTTTTTTAACTTTAACATAAGATCCATCATATAAGAAAATGCATTGTTGTTGGAGATTTAATTATTAATATTTATAATATGCCTAGATTTATTATACGAAAAACTAGTTTTAAGTTAGCAAAAATTTTATTGTATGTGAACTTTAACTTTTAAGTATAATTTGTAACTGGAAACTTGAATATAGTTAGTCCGTCCAAGTATTCATATCATGTTTTTGATATTATTTGTGACATTAAAGGACATCAAGGGATCTTTTGGTCCTTCTAGGCCATCTTATCCACCAAATTTAACTAAAGCTGTTAACTACCCATTTTAGCTATTGCACTGCTGATTTAGACTTGGTAGCCAAACTGTTTAGTAGTGGGTAAACTCAGTAGCAACAAGCTGTTGTCATTGTACCTTGTTTTCTCAACTTACCTTTTGTTGTTATGTTAAGCCTTGTGTAGGCCTACGGTCTAACTGAATTTAGGTAAAAACCTATCAACCATACCTGTTATTTTTGTTTTTAATATTCTCACGTGGACTACCATTTAACTACCTATTTTTGTAGATACCAGTTTTTTTTTACCTAAAGTTTCCTTAAACAGATGCAGTACAGTTAACTTGTTAGATACAAAATAAATGTTCAGGTCTAGATAATAAAGTACTGTATGTAGAATATAAAGAAAATTTTCGACTGGAGTGACTGAGATGTGTATGCTTTATATTTGGTAGTGGTGTTGGGAGGAAGGGTGGCTATACTTCAAGTTGTCACTGGTAATCCTGGCTCCCCTATCATCTTGTTGATATGCAAGACTGATATAAACATCAATTGTGGTCATCTGCAAAAGACTATTATGTCCAAGATGGAACTTCCATCAGACCACAGCATGAATTCTATCTTTCCTGACTACTCTGTGGTGTTTTCAGATTATACTGATAAAAGGGAGATCATATCTCCCCAGATGAAAAATATCCCTGAAAGTGTCCCCCAATTAGAAGAAGTTACTCCCTAAGTACCCCGACATTACATTTTTAAGTTGGAAATCTGCAGTAGAAATACATTGAGAATAAATATTCGGCAGTTGGTATTATTATGACTATTAGCTTAGGTAGAACATGAACAGTGATGCAGTCTGCATAACTACAGGTTGAATATGTCATAATGTACTGTTAAAGCATGATATTTAGTTTGTATTTGAGTTTAACTGTTAACGAGTGAATATTCTTGCATGTGGGACTGATGAGAGTTGGTACAAAGTTTTATACAAGCATTTCAGGATTTGGCTTATAACTTACATTCAACTGTAATATCAGTTACGTTTCCACGTATAGTTGTATTCCCTGCTCACTCTTTTCTTATTCTGTCCAGAAATACAATAAATTTTTTTTCTTTCCATTTTATTTGCTTGTGCTGAGAATTATTAAATATAGAATAGAAATTGTGACAAAAATAAGCAAAACATGTAAAATTATTAATCTAACCAGTAATGAGTCAGTATCTTTTTTTATGTTTAAAGGAAATACTTCAATTGATCATAAAGAACTAGAAGTTGTGTGTGTGATATCAAGATGCAGAAAGACACAGACAGTGCTGTAATCCAGGAAAAACTGAAAGAGTTGTATCACTTGATTCACCAGTGTCAGGTATTAATAGCTGTTATATTCCAACTAAGTTTGTTTTTAATTATTGTAAACAGTATATTGTGTTATCAGTCCAACTGTCTCAATAATAACATGGTGTGTATACTTAAGCCGTAGTAGAATTTTAATTGTTATTCGTGTAACTTAAATATTATCATATATACATATGTTAGAGCTGTTTCTTGTGAGTAATTTAAAACATTGTGTTTGTTTTGCAAAGCTAGGTAACAGTGTATACTGTGGCCAACTGTGGTTTTATCAGCCCAGTTTGACTGATGATAAGGAATGTCACCTCCAAAAAGGAAAAGTACACTATCCTACCAAAAGTCGTGGGACACGAGTAGTTACGAATAAAACATGTCTTTATTCCAAGAAATTATTTGTGTGTTGGCCTGCCTTTGGCCTTAATGACTGCTTTGATGTGTCATGGAAGTCTGTCTACTAATTTCTTGTAGTAAGGTGGTGATATTGTGGTCCAGTCCTACTTTAACGCATTAGTAAACTCCATTACTGAAGAGGGCCATCTTGGCCATGCCGTAATTCTATGTTTCAGTTCATCCCAAAGATGTTCTATCGAGTTGAAGTCCGACTCTGTGCTGGCCACTGCAATGTTCCAATATTATTCTCTTCAAACCAAATATTCACAATCCTT